GCGCATGTAGCTCTCCTCTCTCTCCATCCCAAACAAATCCATTGACTTTATTTCCTCTTAGACAATTCAAATCACTCATACCTTTTAAACTATAAACTCATTTTTGAAAAAAATTATATACTAGCAAAAAGGCCCATGCGTTGCAACGGGATAATAAAATCCTGGTCTTCAGATCAAGTTCCAAATATTCATACTACATTATATATACGCGTATCTGAATATTTGTACACCAACCGGCGCGCATGTGGACGTAATACACATGCATTCCAACATGCACACAATGGATCGATGTTGGACTTGATCCTTAATGCATGTATTTTTTTTAAATCCTCGATGCATGTATGAGAAGGAAAAGAAATGTCAGTCTCACGATGGATCAAATGGAGGTCCCTATGACGTACGAATAATTCAGAGGAGGGTTAAATTTTTCGCTTTTACGGCTGGAGAGGTGGGTGATTTACTTCAATTTAAGGGGTAGTTTAGACGGAAGATGGAAAATTCAGAGAAACAATTAACAAAGATTTTTTTCACTTATGGGTGGCCGGATGGGTAATTTACATAAACGTTAGATGCAGTTTGAATGACTAGCCAAAAAACAGCGAAACAATTAACAAAGATTTTTTTTTTCACTTACGGGTGGCATCATGGGTAATCTAGTTCGACTTTATGGGCAGCTTAGGGTCGGTGGATGGACCAAAAAATTCAGAGAAACGGGCCGTCCTTTAATATAAGGTATAGATTTGGACTCCTGGCATCAAGCCCTTTAGAACTAGAGCAATTTTGGATATATTTCAAACACGTTTAAATTTTTACATTTCACATTTCATATGTGAAAATAACATATTTCACTAGAAAATAATGAAACAACCTATTTCACTAGAAATATGTGAAAACAGCCTAGTTCACCGAAACGTACTTAATCCAAATAGGGAACTGAAATGCTAACTTGTGAAACTGATTCAAAAGAGTGAAATATGTTATTTTAAAAATTTCCAATTGAAATAGATGTGATTCTTGTGAAATAAACCATAAAGTGAAATGTACCTTCAGAAAGTGAAGAATATGATAAACTGAAATGCCAAGTTGTGAAATTGAAATGTGTAACCGTTTAAAATAGTGAAATACGTTATTTCAATAATGTGAGATTGAAATAGATGTGATTTTCATGAAAAAGCCAGCAAAAAGTGAAAAACAATATGAATTGAAATGTCAACTTGTGAAACCGGTCATTTCCCAACATGAAGTAGTTTATTCTAAAAGAGCGAGAGACGTTCTTTAAAAAATTATGCGTTTGAAATAGATATGATTTATGTAAAACAAGTCAGTGAAATGAAAGTGAAAAACAACATGAAACTGCAATGTGAACTCGTGAAACTGATTGAAATAATTATACTCGTAAGATTTCAAGTAGGTGAAATATGTGAAAAGTGTTTCATGAATTTTAAACTCATTTACAATGTATCCAAAATCAGTCTTGTTTCAAAGGTTTTTGCGACATGAGTTCAAATATATAAAAAGTTTTAAAATCAGAAATTTGGTTTAAAATATATGAATGATTTTAAGTTACAACGGTCAAAAGGAATTAATCTGGGAGAGAGAAGAGATAGAATAAGCAGCTCATGCATGGGCCGAAATCACTGTTCTGACCTTGTCAGCGTTTATAGTCACAAACTGAACTCGACGAGAAAGTATTTCACGATTTGACCCTTTTAGAAACGCCAGGGTCCACGGCGTTTCCACCCAACATTGAAACACCGAGCAAGCTAGCGTTTTAAGCCAACACGCAAACGCCGAGGCGGGTAGCGTTTCTGACCTGGGCCACAGTCAGTCTGAACCCGCTGTTTTCGCCGACGTGGCACGCTTGAAACGCCAATGTCCTTGCCGTTTCTGGCCAGGATTAAGTAACGCGCGCGGGCCGCTGGGGCCTAACCCAGCCCACTCCCCCGGTCGAGCAGTTCCTACTCTGGGACGAACTGGCGGCCGCCCCCTCCCTCTTCTTCACCAAATCTTCCCCAGATCTGCTAGCTTGATCATCAAAACGAGGAGATCGGAGCATCCCCGAGTTGCTTGAGGTATTCTCCTCCCAATCCTCCATTTATTTTCAGTCAAGATTGGCTATTGTAGATGTATTTTTTCAAACATGGTGGAACCCTAAGATGAGTTATTAGTGATTTGTTTGATGAATATTTTGGTTACATTATGTTTAGAAAGAAGACATATACTCCTTGTGTTTAAGTATTCTTAGTTAACTTGTTTATTATTGGATTTAGAGAGAGACCATTTTTTGGATTAGGTTGAGCCTATTATTTGTTAATAATTAGTTGTGATAGATTCTTTAGGATAAAATAGGTTGAAAAGAATTGGTGTTGGTAATGTATCTTTGGGATAATTTGTAGTAGTTCTCACACGATTTTGTATATGATGCGGTCATAATTTTAAGCATATATTATAACAAATCCATTGACCTTATTTTGTAGGATGTTTGAGCCGGATAAATATCCCGGCCTTGATGATTATTACGAGGAGAAGCATCGTGCTGTGCTAGTGGAAAGAGGGGAGGTAATTATGTATCTACATTGTTGATTCTCATATTGTGAGTAGTTTAGAGAAGTATATAAATTGTGCGTGTGTTATTTGTAGGTTCCTCCAGTACTTCGTTTGAGAGGCCACAACCCACGTGAGTCCTTGAAGTATGACCGTCGCTACGAGCCTTATTTTAGAAGAATGGATCTTCTCCAGTTTGTGCTCAACTTTAAAGGCACACCACCATGGCTGAACTCGACGGCCATTACCGCCCTTACGGACCGTTGGAGACCGGAGACGCACTCTTTTCACCTTGCTCTTGGTGAGATGACCGTTACTTTGGAGGATATTGCGATGATCTCCGGTCTTCCGATCGAGGGCAGGGCTCTTACCGGGAAGGTGAGGTCTGAGGGGTGGCGACAAAGGGTTGCAGGTTTGGTTGGTGTTGAACCTCCCCCGTGGATTCATGAAACAAAGAAGGATCCTAGGCCATCCGGTGTTTTGTTCTCGTGGCTACAAGAACATTTTTACGAGTGCCCAGAGAATGCCAGTCCGGCTGTTGTGGAGAGGTACGCCAGGGCTTACTTATGGAATCTTTTGACCCAAGTGGTGTTTCCTGACGGCACGGGAGACACAGCCTCATGGATGTTCTTAGACCCTCTTCGTAACTGGGATGTCAAGTGGAGTTGGGGGTCGGCGGCACTAGCCTTCTTATACCGTCAGGTAATGATAATTTGATGCATTCTCATTATATGAAAGAATTTTTTCCCTGTGATTGTTTAATGTGTGTACAAATGTGTAGTTGGACGGAGCATGTATGAGGAGTAAGCCGAAATCTTGTCTTGGTGGTTTTGTTTGGGCCCTACAGATTTGGATGTGGGAGCGTATCCCTGTGGGCCGTAACTTCACCATTGCTCCGGAAGAACCTTGGGAGTGGCCTTTTGACGGGGATGAGGAGCGATATCCCACTATCGCATACACTTGGGCTAATGTCCAAGTGTCGAGTATCGCCGCCATGGGGCGGTATAAGGCATACATAAGCGAGCTTGACATGCTTACTTACAACCAGGTAATTATCAAATCCCTTGCCATCATTACAATTTTTTTTGTTGTGCATGAGCTAGTGACATGTTGTGATGTAGGTTAATTGGAGGCCGTACATGGTACTTAGGCAGTTCCCTTTGAGCAATATGTGCCTTCGTGACCAACATCTTTGGCGTGTGCGTTGCCCCGTGATATGTTTTTTTGCGGTGGAGTGGCATCTTCCACATCGTGTTTTGAAGCAATTTGGAGTACAACAACGCACCCCGCCGGAGTATGTTGAGACAAGTGTGGTCAATGTGTAACCACGGAAAAATGTGTAACCATATGTTGATCAATGTGTAACCACGGAAAAATGAAAATGATGCCGATACTTCTCATGCTTTGTAGGACGAGCCGGCAACACAATAAAAATGTCATTAATTGGGAGGATCACCATCTTATGTGGGTAGACATGTGGAATGCTCAGAGGAATGCCCGAGTTGAAGATGATCACGTCAGCAGCCAACGCGTCCTCGGCCTGGCAGTGGGCCAGGGCAGAAACGCTAGCTTGCTCGGCGTTTCTATGTTGGGTGGAAACGCCGCGGATCCTGGCATTTCTAAAAGGGTCAAATCACGAAATACTTTCACGTTGAGTTCAGTTTGTGACTATAAACACTGACAAGGTCAGAACAGTGATTTCGGCCTCATGCATGCAAGACCCCTGTATCATCTGACCGAAAGCTGACATTGGCGGGATCCGTGTACCTTGTTTGCAGGTCGTATATAGCTAGGTATTTCCCGAAACAAAATGCTTCGCTTTTTATACTGCAGAGTGTTGCACTAATTTTCAAACCGCAATGAGCGGCTCCATATCAGCCAATACATATGTGAACCGCTCAATTTTCCATATTGTGCAATAGCTCACATTTGGATGCGCTCATCCAGACTGGCGTAAAGGGGCAAGACTAGACTGCCTTGCAAATTCAAGAAAGAACACAGCTAGAGCGCTTAGTTTTGGAAAAACACTCTCTCTCCCTCTCCCTCTCTCTCTCTCTCTCTCTCTCTCTCTCTCTCTCAACATGGTACGATAGATTAGGTACTAGCTAGTAGTAGTACTACCATGCTCCATGTAAAAAGGTACAAATTTGGCCACCTGCTGTATACATTACCGTAAAATGCAGCCCTTAAAGATTTATGTACAATAATTATATAAGTGCAACAATCAATGAAAATAAACACAACACAGCCAATGCTGCTTCTAATTTCCAGTGGCATTTCGTCCTGACTCCTGAGCAGTGCTTGAAAATCTCTACAACCACAGGCATGGCGGCTGAGGCATAACAACACATAGTACTACAACATATGCACAACAAACAAATACTAGTACCAGGCGGCATGCCCGGTTAGGTATCTCCAACCAAACACCGAACAAGCAAGCAAATACTAATGTACTATTATAGCCGTTGCACATTTCGACAGAGTGTACCAACCAGTGATTGTTGCAGACCAAGCCGGACAGAAACCAGATACCTTAGCAGCAGCAGAAATGTGGCCGCCATGAGTAAAGCCTCTGCCCAAAACTTGAGCATGCCGGAGGAAGGCACATCGTCCTTGCTGCTGCCAGCTTGCTTTTGCCCCGGACACGGCCACTGGCGTAGCATGAACACAAGGTAGTAGGTCAGAACCCCTGAGACGCCACATGACACCATGATCCTCGTGCACCAGGAGAGCCCAGAAACATCCATGGAGTTCACCAGGTATGCGAAAAGAGGAGCTGCCACCAGTGCACACAGGGCAATGATCTCTTTCATGTATGGCTTCATCTTGTCGACGCTGATGAGCGGGATGTGGCATGGGCGGTCAAGGTGAAGGATGAACCAAAGAAGCACCGGGGCGACCTCCGGCATGCACACCAGAACCACGTCCTCGCCCAGCCACTCCACGGCCATCGTGTGCACCGTCACCAGCAGGAGGAGAAGCAAGGTCTTGTGGAGCAACTCTGACGCCGGTGCGCTGCCCGGAAAAGGGTCAGCGGGCAGCTTCATCATCATTCGCGTCAGTGCCGCCACCATGGCGCTCAGGAACAGGAGGAACTGGGAGATGGAGAACCCCACAGCTGCATCGTCCTCGAGTTGATCCATCACTAAGAGCGCCCCGAACGTCGCCACCACTATAATCTGAAGCTCCACAGGTGTCTCGACGGACTTCTCGTCGACATTAGAGTATCCTGGAGTAACTTTACGATGATTGAGCTTCAAGTACAGCGCTCGTATGAAAACAATGGCCATGACGGGAAAGATGGCGAGCCAGGCGAAGCTCAAGTTGATGCCCAGTAATAGCAGATAAGATATAATCACAAGGACGGCTGTGTCTCTGAAAATCCGGACGTTAGGACGGCACGCGAACCACGACTTCATTGGCGCCAATGCAGCCGGTGTCGGAAGCAGATTGGGCACGAACTCGTGCAATTTCAGAAATATATAAGGGTAGCAAATAGCAACCTCCATTGTGCCAGTTACCAACTCATAGTATTCTTTGTTGGTAAGACCATGCTCACTTAATGAAAACAACTGGAAATTGCCGACGCTGCTGGCCAGTGTGCAGGTTGCTGCTATTAGACATAACAATGCTCCATCTGAATCCTCAAGCTTGCCTGAAACACAGATTTATTGGACATGATCAGACCTACTCCATTATTTTAAATTCATGATTTAAAAACCATTTTGAATTATTATTTTCAATCTTTTAGTTTCTAGCTATGTACATATACTTGAATTTAACTATTCAAATGAACATAAATATCAAGAAAATCATTCAAAGATTTTAGGGTACATATATGCAATCACATACGTACCCTGAATTTTGGGTATGTCATTTTGAAATACTCCAAAATCTGCATGAATTTGAATGATTTGTCGATAGGTTTATGTGAGTATATACATCTAACACTAATGGAATCTGGGATTCCACCGAGTTCCAAGTGTTTGTCGAGTTCATTTCATTGGGAACTGGGACAACTGCTAGTGCAAGTAAGAAATCTCGTTGTCCAGCATAGGTGGTGCACCAAACTATTAGCGATTTTTCTAAAAAAAACTATAGGCGAATTTCGTTATTTTCTTTTACATGGAAAAACTATTAGCAATCATTGTGGCTCGGCTCGAGCATACGGGGTACTGATCAAGCTGATACAGACAAGTCGTAGTAATTTTGAATAGGCTACTTTTAGGCATGAATCCCTGAATCTACTTACGAAGCGCATGATTTAGCTAAGGCGTCAATCGGTCTTTCGATTGGTTGTCAGTCGTGGCTAGTAGACCACCAAACTTTGCTTGTATTCCTTGGTGTCTAAGTGACCAATAAAGCAAGCAAAGTTACTCAAAAAAGGTGCCGCGTCAAACTATTAACAAAAAAAAATTGCGGGAAATCCTCTTCGCGATTCAACATGGAAGAACAGCAGATGAAGATATATATGAGTATTAGATTAAACTCTAAATAATTATTTAGTTGAAAGTTAAACGTGCAAATTTAGAGCTGTGAAAAAAAATCCGCTCTATAACTAATTGAATTCGATGTATGGAAGCATAACAGCAAGGAAGAACATACTCACTCCATTTCTAAATATCGGATGCATATAGACGTACTTTAAAATGTAGATTCACTCATTTTCTTCAGTATGTACGTAGTCCATACTATAGAATTTCTAAAAGGACTTATTAGAGACGGAGGGAGTACATATGTACATACATGCATACATACATACATACATACATACATACATACATACATACATACATACATACATATATTAAATTGAGCTACTATAGTGTATTAACAACTTGGACGTGGAAGAGAGTCGACATAGACTTACTGATTAATCGCGAACGAGGCTGTGGCAGACGAGCGTGTCTGCCATTTGACACGATTTCTCGGCGTTGGGATGATCGGTTCCGCCCCATTGATTCGCACGCAGAGTTTTTCCCACCTTAGCTGGCTGCCGGTCGATCGATGGGCCAACTTGGTGCGCTACTACGTAGTCAATCAAATCTGACACTGCAACACCTGGTCAATGTTTGACTGAGTTTGTGCAAAAATATATCAATGCTTGTGAAATCAAATATGTATATGATGAAAATATATTTTATCATGAATCTAATGATACTACTTTGATGCCATAAATGTTGGTGTATTATTGTATAAACACGGTTGAACATAAAAAAGTTTGACTTTCCAACAAAGTTGGAAGTGCACTCTTTTAAGTACGGAGGGAGTACTTTGTTAGATATAGTTATGCCATAGTTTAGAGTGGTTACACATATGGATGCTCCTGCAATATGGCAGCTGACTATGCCCCACATAACCCATATCTTTTTGTGGCTATTAGCTAATGATAAGCTGCTAACCAGGCAAAATTTTGCTAAGAGACACACAGTTGACGATATGTCATTTTTTAGTGTTCGGTTGTTACTGAAGTGTGTAATAATAGAAGTAGATTGACTGCTATTGAGCAGGTTGTCACTTATGATTCCATTGCTAAATGGTAGGTTCGCAATGAGAAATGGCAAGCAAATAATCTTGTGCAGTCTGTGATGTTATGGTCACTATGGAAAGTATGTAACGACCTCTGTTTTAGCAGCTCTGGGGAAGCATTAAAATAGCATGCTCCCAGTAGGTGATTTTATGCTCAGGGGCTGCAAGAGTCCGAGTTACTGAGTAGATGGGATGACCGGTTCAGTGTGGTCGCTTGCGAGAAGCCCGTCTCCACTAACCAGGCCAGCTCCCAGCTGGAAGTGGATCCAATATGACTGCTTACACGAAGGTGGTAAGCCTTTTGGAAGGCGACGAAAATGTTGAAAAATAGGGAAACCACCAGTGCAAGCTTGGCGAAGCTGGTGAAGGTGTCCTCATTGTAGCTGATTGAAGCTTGATTCATGCTCCGGGTTGTCCCCAAAGCTTGACAACTTGTGCCGCTGCTGAGATTTCACTTGTACCCAGTTGACCACAGCCTCATCCCCTCTTCACCATCCTACGGGTCACGAAATATCAAGAGGGCCCCTCCCAACAATGGGTGGCGAAGAGCGGTTGCTCAGGAGGCATTGCCCTTCAGGGTCACTAACATGGGGCTAGGACTGGTGACATGGTGCAGGGAGGACCCCCTGGACCTAGACGTCATCTCGCTAGCATGCCGACCGATGTAGAGAAGTTGGCGGAGGCCTGATTCCTCCTTATGCAGGAAGACTTCGATCTCGTGTAGGGCATAGGGGAGGGGGGTGAAGAACACGGTCTTGGTGGCAGAGGCGTCACGGAAGGCCAAGGGGATAGCCATGGTGTCGTAATATCCCTCTGTCTTTTCTTTGTCTCCGAGCTCCCCATACACCTAGGAACAGTTGAAGTACTGCTGGACCTCCACGGCGGGCCACGTCTACATGTACTTCATTGTCGTGAAGCCCACCCCCATAGATACGTCCAAAATATATCAATAACTTTTGAAGTTTCTATGCTTATTTCTTTATCATTTATGCAATATGATATATTTTTGGACTAACCTACTAATAAATTGTGAGAGGGAAGAATCACATTTTTGTATGCTGATGGTTTTAGGAACCTTCCGGAACTCAGAAGTATCCGTGAAAAATCAACGTGTCAAAACTTTCCAGAAGACGAAGGCTCACAGAAGGAGGAACCTATGGCCAACCTAGGTCCCCCGCATGACCTTACCACATGGCCCGAGGGAAGGCCACATGGCCAAGACGCTTGAGGGCCCGGGGGTACCCCATGCTCTCTCATTCGGCCGTTAGCTCCATATATACCCCCAATTCGCAAACCTATTCAAGAAGAACATTTTCGCCGCCACCATTTCTAGATATTCGAGATCTAGGAAAAGGTTGTCTCGAGTGTTTCTTGGGTAACCTGCCGGAGGGGAATTCACCACTGATCTTCATCAAGAAAACCCCTCTGGTGTTCCCCGGTGAGGTGTGAGTAGTCCATCCCCTGTACTATGCATGGGTTCGCAGTAGTAACTATGTAGCAAATCTCTCTATGTGCTTCGCTGATTAGATCACATGAGCTGCCCCACATGACTGTGATCACTTGTGTATAAATCTTGCGGTGAAAATTTCGATATGTGATGAATTGTTTATAGATGTAAATTCTTGCGGTGAAACTTTCGACTGTGATCACTTATGATGTTGGCATCATGATTGCATGGATTTTTTTATAGATGTAAATTATTCTCCATTTATTAGTCTAAATATTGTCCTGTCAATCGACATCCTTGCGAGAATATCGTACCAGTATGGCCTGTCTGTTGAGGATTCAACGCGAGCGAGGTGGTTAGTGATCATGGACTTGTGGGGGAGGTAGAGACGTGGAGTTTGTTCCTGATGGCTGGAGTCGATGGATGGGAGGCCGAGCAGAGCATCCTCTTCTTCAGTGGTTCTTGGCTGACCGACGGCGACGAGGCCACCCGCCATGACAACACAGCAACAAAAAATCCTCCCTGAAGGAGGCTCAAGAAAGAGCCAAATCATCTCTAATCAAACTGGCAAAGCCAACAGTCGATCGACACCACTTTGTAATCGAAAGTCCTCCGGCTACGCTCTTTCCAAACCATGTAGTACATGGTAACACGGCAAGAACATCCCATGTACTCAGCCAGATCAAAGCATGACTTGCTAGCTATTCCTTCTTTGGCCAGCTGCACAAGTATGAAGTCGACCACCGCCGCCGCCGAAGACGGGCACTTGCCCGGCAAATCCCGCGGCGGAACTATAGGGCGACCAGATGCACACGTGCGTGGAGCGCGTAGGACTCCGTTGGCCGCCAAGATATAATTAGCAAAAACAGTGGGGTATATTCGTAATAAAATCGTACGCAGAACCAGCTAGCTGGCACAAATTGGAAGAGCTACCACGCCCTCAACCGCAAAAAAAAAATTACCACCCCCTAATATAAAAATAAAGAGGAAAAGCTAAAAAGCACACAAACAGTACATCAGGCGTGCGTACCTTGTCGGCTGTCAGATGCTACCGATCGATGCTGCAAGTGTGCGGCCATCTGCGGGCAAACACAGGCAGCCGCAAATATATAAGGGAAACGTTTAGCGTTGGGCCGGTCACTTCGCTAACAGGAGCATGACACGTGCTACCTTATCCTTTCCCAACACCTGCATCCACTCTTTCTTCTTCCTCGCGCACGGAACCCAGGTCGGCCCTCATCTACCTCTCCTCTATCCCTTCATGGAAGCACTCCAGCAAGCTTTTTTGAGTGGAGTGCGCCACGAGTCGCCGATGCTACGCCTACGGAAGTAATACCAGCAGGCGTTGTTCGAGGGCCGCAATGGGGAACTCTGTCTGACGGCCGCGGCCATGTTTTTTCTCTTCTATGATCCATCTAGGCGATGATGCGAGTTGGCAACACCACTTGCCGCCGTTGAGTTGATGGCTGCGCCCGCACACGTCCTCCTCCTCTCCGGTAGTGCCGTCAGGGGTGCCGAAGCTGCAACGTGTGGTAGTTTTTTCAACGAGACCAAGCTGAAGCTGCAACCGGCCTTCAGAAACGCTGCAACCAACGTCGCGCCCTGCTACAATGGGCGTCAGGTTTTGCTACAACCATGGCGCCGGTGCGAAGAGCAGACTACAGCGGCACTGTTTTTGTTGCAACCGCATAGAGAAAAGCTACAATGGGCATCATGTTTTGCTACAACCATGGCGCCTGTGCGAAGAGCAGACTACCGTGAACCTTTTTTGCTACAACCGCATAGCGAAGAGCTACAACGGGCGTCGCATTTTGCTACAACCATGACTCCGGTGTGAAGAGCGGACTACGCAGGCACTTTTTTGCTGCGACCACATAGCAAAAAGCTACAACCGTTGTCGCATTTTGCTACGCCCATGACCGTCGGTGCTGGAATAGCATTCCTCGTCAGTGTCGGATGAGCCGCAGGTGTTTGGACGGCACTCCGTGGTGCTGGAACCGTCGACATGAAAAGCTGCAACCAAAAGCCCATCTATGGTTCAACAGGAAGACCGGTGCGTCGCCGGTATTGTGATGCTACAACCGGCACCCCACCGTGCTGGAACCATCGACATGGAAAGCTGCAGCCGGCAATCTCCGATGCCGGAAGACGGAGGCAATGGATGCTCGTACTAGAGATGTCGACTGCTGGAACCAACGAATTTAGGTGCTGGAACCGTCGACTCTATTTGCTACAATCGGCCAACTGTAATGCTACAACCTGCTTTGTCGGCGTGCGATGCAATCCGATGCCAGCTGCGATGCTACAACCATTGCCGGTGATGCTAGAACTGAAGGCGTGATGTGCTGCAATGGAGGGCCATGCTACAACCGTTGCCGTCGTTGCTGGCACCGACAGCAGGACGAGGGGCGAGTAGTGGACGTCCAAAGCTACAACCAGCTGCCGCGATGCTACAACCGTTGCCGGTGATGCTGGAACCGACGGCGCGACACACTACAAGAAATATGTCAACTTATGACCTTCTGTCAGTGACCCTCCAAGAATTGGTCTTAAATTTATGACTATTTTAGACCAATTGGTCAAAAGCTGTCCAGGGGGCTCCAAACCCTAAACCATTGCGACCATTTTGGTAAGAAAGGTCGTAATTTCCATACACGAAATGATCACAAAGCAAACAGTGCTAGTCTGCTGCCTTATTTCTAGTTGTTAATGACCAATATAGATGGTCATAGCCTTGTAGATTGTGGTGGGTTGTGATGACTAGGTGCCATCTCATCAGTTTTGCCTATATGTCATGTCCATGTGGCAGTTTTTGCCCTAGGTTGTGAAGCAACCTATATTTCTATCATTCCCAAAATTCCCAAAACAATCTCATAAATTCTTTGGGGCATATCTTCATCAAATATGTAAAAATCCTTCCTTGTCTAGTTCAAAACTAATTCAACAATATTCATTTTCCTATTCTGTTCACAACAACACTTT